CCTGGCTGCGTGGGGGCCCAGCGGTTGGAGTCAGGTGCATACACAGTGTCATGTGTCCTGTGCCCTTTGCAAAGCGGGTACCTAGAGCACCCAGGAAGCAGAGCCGCTCTCACAGCTCAGCCTCGCCTGTCTGCCCGGCTCTGGGGTCCCCTTCCTTCCCATCAGGGCCCTCAGCCCTGAAGACCCCGGCCGCCGGGCCCGGGCACCTGCTGAGAGTGCTCCTGTGTCCAGGCATGTCCACCCCTTTCATGGGAGTCAGCATTTCAAAGGAGGAGGAGGTTCCCAGACAAGCAGAGCAGTCAGCGCCTCCCGGGACGTCGGTAATGGAGGGAATTTTGAGAAGAATGATTTTCAGTGAGATTAGAGGACGTGTTGCAGTGAATTTGAGAATAAAAGAGAATATTTGGAAACTGAAAAAATGACTTCCAAAAAATGGAATAGAGACCATGAAGAATAGACTGGACACTGCAGAGAGGCAGGGTCAGCCAGGAGGCTGTGAGGAGGATCACCATCCTCAACCCCGGGACGAGGCAGAGGGAGATCCTGAGGGAGCCGACAGGCGAAGATGGGAGTCCCGGAGGGAGAGCCAGGGTGACTGATGGGACACTCCAGTCGAACAAGGAGTGGGAAAACTACCCTGATCAAATTCAGTGCCCTGAGCGTCGGCAGGCTCTGTGAGTGAGTGATGAGTGTGCAAGTGTGAGAGTCCAGGGTAAGGAGAAGACGCGGCTGCTTCTGGAAACAGAGTGGTTGTCTCAGGAGAGGGAGGAAGAGGCTCAGACCACAGCGCCAGTGCACAGACTCCGACCCACCCTTGGCGGCACTGCACTGCACAGCAAGAAGTGACAATGGACATTCAGTGGCGTCTCCATTTGCCTTTGAGGTTGGCCAGAATGTAGGCTGGTACTGTCTTTTTGGAGGGAATTTGGGGGTATTTATTACAATGTACTGTGCATGCGGTAACAGAGAGCTTCAGAAACACCCTGTTCAGGTTGTTCGTCCAAAAGTAAGGTTTAAGATGCTGAAGCCCTAACCAGCCAATAAAAGCCGGGGGCACGGAGTCTGTCCTTTCAGGAGGGGCATTTCCAGGTCTTTCTGATGCTGGCTCCGGGTGGGTGAGCTGGGCTGTGGGGTGACCTGGAGGGGTGTGCTTGTCCCAGCCAGCGATGCCACGGCAGTGGGGGAAGCCCAGGCGGCAGACCCTCTGATATTTCAAGAGAAGCTGGAAATACAGGTTTTTATGTGAAATCTCCATGTTTGAAAAAGCCGGCATCTAACTAAAACATGAACAACCCTGAGCAGAGTGTATGAGGCCCGTGTGGGGGCTGCCTCCCTCTGTGGCCCTGGTGGGCATCCTGGTTAGCCACCCCTGCCTGGACTCGGGGGGCTTCACACAGGTGATGGGGGGCTTGGAGGCCCAACAGACTGCACCAGGCCCGCACTTGGGGGACTGGGGAGAGAGATGGGTTTGGGTGGGGCTCCCGAGAGGCAAGGAGATTGAGTTAACTGTTCCTGTGCACCCGTCTTCCTCTTTGGTTGAGGCAGACCCCTGGGCTTTTATCTGGGCACAGGCTGCCGGCTAGGGATGTCCCTGCTGCCCCATGGGTGGGCAGAAGTGCTGTGTGCTATGGCTGAGCCATCTCAGTAGAACAGGTGTGGCAGCCCCCTCCCGCCCCTCCTGGGGCTGCGCCCTGCTGTGTGTGAGTGGCCAGGGGTCACTCGGAGAAGACCCTGCAGGCACAGGTGTGGAGCTGGGGCCTACCCCTCTCCTCCTGCATCATGGTTCCTCCGCCCTCCCCAGTTTCTCACAGTAGATCCTCTCAGGCCCTGACGACCTGAACGGACACAGCAGGATGTATGGACATTACGTGATGTCTTAATTTTCCCAGAGCCTGTTTCTCTCTTTGAAGTCAGGCCCACGGAGCCCCTGAGGAGGCTGGCCCCTTGGAGAGTCCTTTTCACTGAGAGCATTGGGATGCTGTGGCCTCCCTGCAGGACTGGCCTGGGCAGTGGTCACTGGGGCAGTGGTCACCCGGGCAGCAGTCACCCGGACAGTGGTCACAGCATCCCCTTCAGAGACAGCAGGAGGGGAGGGGTGAGGGTGAGTGGGGCCGGCTGGTAGGAGCCCTGGGGAGGCACCTGATGCTGGGGAGCGGGGCGGGGTGCTGGCCCACCCCGTCTGAGCTGGGCTCCCAAGCACTGACATGGGGCTGGAGCCCAGTGAGGGCCAAAGGGGCCAGCATCCTGGGGGCTGAGGGAGGGGCAGGTGGGCACCCACACTGTGGTGTGAAGGGTCATGGAGAGTCTGAGCACTCACTTGGTTCTCACGGGACGCGTCTCTGGAGGATGAACTTCAACTTCCGAGCACCCCAGAAAGGAGACCTGTGCAGCCCCGTCCTGATGCTGCACCCTACCCCTGCCACCCACGTGCACTTCTGCACCCCCAAGACCAAAGTTGAGGCTGGCAGAAGGGTCCTGGGCCCTGACGCAGCCCTGGGACGCCGCCAGCTCCCGGCTCCCGCCCACACAGTGACAGTGGGCCCTTGTCTCTCCTCTGCTCACTGGGTCTGAGAGGCAGACGCTCCCACGGCCACCCCACAGCCAGCTCTGCAGCCTCCCCGAAGTGCCCGGTGAGTCCCCTCCCTGCTCACCTGTACCCCGGCCCTCAGGGGCCAGGACCTGGCTCCTTCTGTCCTCCCTGGCTGCCTGTCTTTGGGCTGAGGGTGGTGGGTGCATGGACCCTGAGGGCCCTCCAGCCAGAGGTTCCACAGGGACCCCCCACGGGGCATTTCCTGGCCTGAGTGACAGGTGTGATGCTGCAGGGCCCCGGGGTTAGCGGATGGGATGGATGCCCACTGGGTGTCAGGGCCCAAAGCGGGGGGCCCCGCCCCAGCCCGCACCATCAGATGGGCCTGTAGGTGACCCCCGACCAGATGGAAGGTTCTGTAACTGAGTCCTTGCCCAGGACAGGGCACAAGACACGCGGGTTAGACTGGAGACTGGTCTTGAGGTGACAGAGCTGGGAGGGCTGCTGTGCCCGACTTGTTGCCAAGGGCCTCTGCTCTTCATGTGCGTGCATGTTACTGCCCTGCAGCAGGCTGGGCCTGCTCAGCACCAACTGGTCCAAAGGACAAAAGATGAGCTGACCCGGGAGGGCGTGGGGCAGCTGCCGGGCTGGCCCGAGGGCTCCAGGGCAGACCCCAGAGAGCATGGGCTGCGGGCAGGAGGTTTGGGCCAAGCCCCTGCCGAGGCAGGGTGACCCCTAGCAACTTGTGCGGGATCCAGGGCGAGGTACCAGGTTCTCTTGGAGGTCCCATCACCTTGCTGGGCCTCAGTTTCCCTTTCCGTGATTCAACACCTCCCAGGAGGGCCCCACTGGGGAGGGTGGATGGGCATCGAGACCTAAAGGTGCTTGCTCCAGCTCACATTCGGACACAGCCATCCTGGTCAAGCCAAACCCCTGGAACCTCCTGTATTGGCCAAACTGGGCAGGGCCAGCTGCCTGGGAGGCCCTGTTCCTCCTCGCAGATTGAGGGGCCTCCCAGGGACAGGGGGGCTCTGCAGAAACCCAAGCCTGGCCCGGGCGTGGGTACTCTGAGTGCCTGGCAGCCCTGTCCTGCTCTGTGCAGTGAGCAGAGTGACAAGCTGGTTTCTGGAGCCTCCATCACTCCTGCTGTGTCCCCAGGCGGGGGTGGGCCTGGGACACCTGCCTCTGATGACACCAGCTCCCAGTGGTCCCAGGCCCTGGGGAGGAGCCAAGGGGAGAGAATGTCCCGCTTGTGTCCATTCAGCCTGGAGGGACACGTGGCATCTGCACCTGCTTCCTGCTTGGGCACAGCTGCCCTTTGGACACTGACCAGGGTGGGGGCTAGGGGCTTCCGGGGCACAGAGAGCTACTCTCAGAAGCCCAGAGGCAGTGGTGGGGTGGGTGGACCTGGGGTTAGGCAGTGGGTCTGCTGGGCCCAGCAGGCAGCGGGGCAGGGCCAGCGTGCTGGCTGAGAAAGCCTTGCAGGAGCAGGGGGTCCTGGGCTGTGGGGGAACACAGCGGAGGTGTCTCTTTTGGGTACCTCAGGCGTGAGGCTGAGCCAGCACACCCTCCCTAGCACCAGAGCAAGGCCTCTCTGGTTTAGGTGTGTGTGTGCACCCCATTCTCCATCCCGACTGTGTCCTCCAATGCGCACCGCCTGTGCTGTGTGCAGGGGCTTGATCGTTGCGGAGCAAAGCATGAAGCATGATGCTGGGGGACTCACTCTCTGGCTCCTCCCCTCTCAGTGCTCTAGTTATCTCCACCTGCCTGGCCCATGGGCCCTGGCTGCTCCAAATCCTGCACGTGCACCATCTCCATTTCTTGTCTGCAGCCCCTTGGACCACCCAGTGCACTGGGCTGAGCACACTCACTCAGGTCTCTCCGTGGGGGCCAGGCCAGCCCTCTTTGCCCTGGTGCAAATCAGAGGAAGAGGCCTCGTGGGTGGGCCCAGCCCAGCAGCAGAGGGCCCTCTGGATTGCAGACCCCACATGTGTCCCAAATGCACCCCCACCTGAGGCCTGGCTCTTACTGGCCTCTCTCAGGAGCTGCTTGCCCCCCCCCCCCCAAGCCCAGCTGGCTTCATCGCCGCCGGTGACCCCTCCCCCACCAGCCTGGCTTCTCTCCCACGTGTGCACCAGCTGTAGGGGCCCAGCCCAGGAGGGCTCCGACCAGAGGTCTCTCATCCCCCTCCGCGGGCCGGGCTCTGCAGGCACCTAGAATGGCCCGGAGCTGCTGCTTTTCAAGTTCAAACCCCCGCCCCCAGCGCAGACGGGAGCCGTGGGGGAGGGGGAGGCGTGGGAAGGGCCAGCTGGGACCCGGGGTGAGGGGCCGGGTCAGGGTGATCTCCCAGGTGCGCACAGGGCTGGGCAGGGCGCCCCAATCCCCATGGACCACAGGGGATGGGGAAGGGACGGGGCGTGGGCTCCCTGGGCCCATCCACTGACCTGCTGACCGCTGGCCCTGCGGCCTGCAGAGCATGGGGACCCCTCGGGTGCCCGCGCGGACTGTGCTCTTCCAGCGGGAGAGGACCGGCCTGACGTACCGCGTGCCCGCGCTGCTGCCCGTACCCCCCGGGCCCACCCTGCTGGCCTTCGCGGAGCAGCGTCTCAGCCCCGACGACACGCACGCCCACTGCCTGGTGCAGAGGACCGGCTGGCTGGCCGGGGCCTCTGTGCGGGTGAGCGGCACCGCGGGGGAGCGGGCCGGGCGGGCCGGGTGGAGCCGTGCAGACGGGTAAACTGAAGCAGCCCCCGCCTTCCCGGCAGTGGGGCGCCGCTCGCGTGCTGGGGACGGCGGCCCTGGAGGAGCACCGCTCCATGAACCCCTGCCCGGTGCACGACGCGCGCACGGCCACCGTCTTCCTCTTCTTCATCGCCGTGCACGGCCGCACCTCCGAGGCCGCGCAGATCGCCGCGGGCACCAACGCCGCGCGCCTCTGCTTCGTGACCAGCCGGGACGCAGGGCGCAGCTGGGGCGGCGCGCGGGACCTCACGGCGGAGGCGGTGGGAGGCGCCGAGCAGGGTAGGTGGGCGCACTGGGCAGGGGTGACGGCCGGGGGTCGCCGGGCCCTGCCCCCAGCCTAAGGGTCACCGACACCTTTGCGGCTGCCCAGTTTCCGGAACACTCAGTCCCGCCCACGGGCAGGAACAGGCTCTTCATCTTTCCTGAGCTCGTCTCTGTATCTGAGCCTGAGGTCTCAAACCCCGGGCCTCGCTCATCTCCTTTACCACTTTCTCCTCCTCTTTCTCACCCCGCCCAGGGCCGTCCAGCCCAGGGGCTTGACCTCAAAGCTTTCCCTCCATTCTGCTGCTCCTTCTTCAGGGGTCTGACCACCCATTGCCCTCAGGGGCCACCCCAACCCTGGCAGGTGGACCCTGACCCAGGGGTCACCCCCACCCTGGTAGGTGGGAGCTAAACTGAGGGGCGTGGCAGACGCTGAGAGGGGGACAGGACACACGGAGCTGAGGGAAAGAGTTATCCTCTGGAGCCCACCCCTCGGGACTGTGCCTGCGGCCGGAAGAGGCTGCCCAGACCCCATGCTGGAGGTCCTCACACCCCCTCTGCCCCCGGCTGTCCCTCTGCCTGGGCAGCGCTCACACTGGGCACTGGCGGTGGCCATCTACCTGTGTTTGGGGACTGCCCACCTGCTCACATGCTGAGAACCTGGCCAAGTGGCCTGCCTGGGCTCCCCGCTCCTGATGATGGCCGATAGAGGCTTGTCCAGCCCGGGAGGAGTCAGGGTGGCCAGAAGGAGTGGAGGGTGGAGGCGTGGTCAGCGGGTGGCTTCCTCATGAGTTATCTCCTAACCTAAGGCACTGGCCCCCTTATCCACCCCACACCCCAGGGTGGCACTGCCCGGCCTTGGCTGTGGCTGTCTCCCTCCTGGGGTAACCAGCAGCCCCTCCTCTCTGCAGACTGGGCCACGTTCGCTGTCGGCCCTGGCCACGGCATCCAGCTGCGCTCAGGTCGCCTGCTGGTGCCAGCCTATACCTACCGCGTGGACCGACGAGAGTGCTTTGGCAAGATCTGCAGGACCAGCCCCCACTCCTTTGCCTTCTACAGTGATGACCATGGCCGCACCTGGCACCGCGGAGGCCTCGTGCCCAATCTGCGCTCGGGCGAGTGCCAGCTGGCTGTGGTGGACGGTGGGCGGGCCAGTGGTGTTCTCTACTGCAATGCCCGGAGCCCCCTGGGCAGCCGCGTGCAGGCTCTCAGCGCAGACGAGGGCACCTCCTTCCTGCCTGGGGAGCTAGTGCCCACCCTGGCTGAGACAGCCTGGGGCTGCCAGGGCAGCATCGTGGGCTTCCCGGCCCCGCCCTCTAGCCAGCCCCAGGATGAGGGGTGGTCAGTGGGTGCTGGGAACCCCCCACAGCCTCCACACCTCTTTCCTAGAGTCCAGGAACCCCCAGAGGAGGGCGCTGGAGATACCGGAGGGGGCAGGAGGCCTGGTGGGATGGGAGGATGTGGGGACAGCCCCAGAGAGCCTGGTCAGGGCCCTGGGCTTGGTGGGCATAAGGAGTCCTGGACCCCAAAGCTCTCCAGGCCCCCTGTTGCCTTGTCTCAGAGCCCCACGTGGCTGCTGTACTCCCACCCGGCAGGGCGCAGGGCTCGGCTCCACATGGGCATCCACCTGAACAGGTTCCCTCTGGACCCCCACAGCTGGACGGAACCCTGGGTGATCTACGAGGGCCCCAGCGGCTACTCTGACCTGGCCTCTATTGGGGCCACCGCAGAGGGAGCCTTGGCCTTCGCCTGTCTGTTTGAGAGTGGGGCCAGGGTCTCCTACGAGGAGATCTCTTTTTGCATGTTCTCCCTTCCCGAGGTCCTGGAGAACGTGCCGGCCGGTCCCGAGCTGCCCAGCCACGGAGGCAAGCCTCGGGGGCGCTGCTGGCCCTCCTGATGGGCCCTTGGGCCAGGCCTGGGCTGTGGGGTGCCGGGAGGAGCGGGGAGGAGAGCAGGGTGGTGGAAGGTGAGAAGGTGGGGAGGTGGGGGGGACCCCCGGCCTGGACGGAGCTCTGGGGCACTGGCTTTGGGAGGAGCCTTTGCTCCTTGGCTTCTCCGTGAAGAGTCATGTGGGCGAGTCTTTATGAAGGAACCTTAAGAATTATTCAAAAGTTCAGTTCTAATAGTTTCAAACAAGCAGGGCTGATGCAGCTGAAATTGGAGGGAGGCGGGCTCTGAGCCCCGTGGGGGCAGGAGATGGGCCGTGGAGGTGCAGCCAACCCCGGATGCCACACGAAGCTGTCTTTGCGGGGCGCCAGGACCCCTAGGTCAGCAGGAGGTGCTTCATTGTCCGTAGCATTTTGCTCTTTCATCTTGCTCTGCTGACTACTTTCTAGCTTATGAACGAGAAATAAAGGAATTGTGCGTTTACGGACGTCCAGGGACGTTTCTCTTCAGTTCTTTCCACGTTGAAGCCCTGGGGAGGGTACCCAGTGCTCTAGCCCACTGCTCTGACCCCCACTGCCCCCCAGTTTCATTGCGGGGTCTGCTCTCCCCCCTTAGCCAAACTCCCCAGCGCCTGGGGGCAGTCAGAGGTGGGGGCAGGATGAGGACGGGGAAGCGGATCTCCTCTGCGGCAGCCCCCGGATCTGTGTGGGATGCGCAAACGGCTGCCCTGCCCGCTCTGCACTTCCGGCCGGAGGGGCAGGGATCCTGGCGGCTGCCCCTCCCCCACTGGGCAGAGGCAGGTGCCCAGAGCAGGGTCGCCTTCCAGGACCAGCCCGCATGGGAGCATCTTTTTATTTCTTCGCCTTTTTAAAGTCTTCATTTCTGGTTATAAAAATAAAATATGCTCTTTGTAGAAAATTTGGGAAATGCAAAAAAACTATAAAGAAAAAATAAAAATGACCCTGCACGGATCCCTCTCCTCACCACAACTACGATCATCCTTTTGGTGTTTCTTTCCCACATCTTTTTCTTCTTTTTAAAGATATGAGTGCATTGAAATGCAGCATCATCTCACTCCAGATCGGCTCCACCTCGTGGCTTCTGAGCACCAGGTCCCTGCGGGGTGACCTTCTGGTGCTGGGCAGTTTTCCCGGTTATGAATCATGCTCGATGAGCACCTTTGGGGTGTCCCTGGGTGACCCCGGCTTCCAGTCACCTCCTTAGGCTGGATTTGTGACCATCTTACACTGCCCTCCCAAATGGTGGGGGCATCCAGGAGGCCTCTGAGCTACCAAGGGTCCATGGGACCCAGCCAGGACGGTGGGCCGGGACTCGGTGGGCTGAGTCCCCAGGGAACTCAGGACGGCCAGTCCCTAAGGGAGCAGGGAAGACCCTCGCTGCTGCCTTTCATTCTCAGCCGCTTCTGCGGCGGTTGCTACCTTTCAGGGGTCACTGCTGTGCTCCAGGTGGTGATGGGATGGGGAGCCTGGATCCGGGGGCCCTCAGAGCCCTGAGCGTGCCTGCGCTCACCTAGGGACCCCCACCTCATGGTGGCTTCAGCCCTGACAAGGACAGCCCTCTGCCTGGGGCCTTGGGGCAATAGCTTGAGTCTGCTTTTCTGTTTTCAAATCCAAACCAGAGAAACCAGCAGAGATGGGCGGGGGGCTTCCCAGAGGCACAGAATGCACAGGTGTGCAGCCAGTGTTCCCTCACACTTCTGCACTGAGTGAGTAATGTCCCAGAAATTCATGTCCACCTGGAACCTCAGATTGTGACTTATTTGGAAATAGGGTCTTTGCAGACGTAGTAAAGATGAGGGTTGAGATGAGATCATCTTGGATGAGAGTGGGTCTTAAGTCTGATGAGAGCATCTTTAGAAGATAGAAAAGGACACTCAGGGAAGGCCATGTGGGGACGGAGGCAGAGATTGGAGTGATGCTGCCACAGCCAAGGGACACCTGGAGCCCCCAAAGCTGAGGAGGCAGGAAGGACCCTTCCCTGGAGCCTTGGGAGGGAGTGCGGCCCTGTGACACCATGGTGTCCGACTTCTGGCCTCCAGAACTGGGAGAGAATCAACACCCACTGTTCAAGCTGCCAGGTTTGTGGCACTTTGGGAACTGATACACCTTCTTTCATTCGCCGTCTGTCCTCAAGGCAACTCCTGGATGTTGTGCCTGAGCGAAACCGCTGCTCTCCCACCTGAGGGAGGGTGGGCCCTGTCCTCAGGGCGGGTCGTCCCCAGGGCAGATACTGGCTGTCACTGCCTGGCAGTGTGGCGTGGCCAAGAGGGACAGGCCTGCTGTCAGGTGGATGTGGGCTTGAGTCCTGGCCCGCCATCCTGGCTGGCACAGCAGGCACACTGCCAGCCTCCTACTCCCACGGCTGCATCTCTGGGCGGGCTCCTCCCTCCCTCCCTGCTCCCTGGGGGCTGGGGAGGGTCCCCGGACATCCCTCAGCTGAGCACACCATGCAGGCCAAGCTTGGGGTCAGGTCTACGAAGTGTCCAAAGCTGGCGCTCCTCGGGCAGGCCCATCCCAGCAGCATGGCATCCTCAGGAAGGGGTCCAAGGTCTTCCTGACTCCTCGCGGTCTTGGGCAGCTGCTGAGGGCCCCGGGGAGGGTCTCCCTTGGTGTGACCCCACAGGCAGGGAGGGAGGGAGTGAGAGTCCCTGGGCTCAGGGCAGCTTGGGCTGCCTCCTAGAAACCACCCCCCGCCCCAGCCTGTTACCGCCTGCACTTGCTCTGGTTGGTCCCCGAGGGGCTCGGACGTCTGGTGCTTGCTGGTGTCGGGGGCAGCTGTGCTGGGACACCCCTCCCTGCTTCTCTGGACCTGGACCCAGCTGTTGGTTCCCGGGGGTCAATTTGCTGGGACCTCTGCCTGTGGCTTCCCTGCTCCTGGGAGACTCCGTACCTCGGGCAGTGCCCAGCCTCTAGGGTCACCGGTTCTCATGGTGTGCCCCAGCCTCACCCCCACTGGGTCTTGTGACACCGGGCTCCTCTGACATCTGACACCCCAGCTCCCTTCCCTGAGCCACTGCCCCACCCCTGGGCTGCTCTGAGCCCCTGCTGTGGCCCCTCTAGGGTGGCCGTGCCCTCTTCCAGCCTCTTCCTTCCTTCCTCTGTCACGAACTTGGTGGGCAGCCCCTGGACACTTCCCTGGGCCCTGCTACCCTCCTGAGGGCTGTCCCCAGGATGGGTCAGGCAGTGCTCCAGCCAGAGCACCAAGCCAGCACGGAGAATTCTAGCATCCTAATACCCTTCCTATCCTGGGACACAAGTCCCCAAACACCACTTTCTCAGTGTACGCTTCTTGCTGTCTTCTGTGCACTTTCTGTCATTCTCTATGTCTGTGCTTCATTATGGTTCATTTCTCTTGACTTTTCTTCTAATTCACTAATTCTCTTTTTCCTGTGTTTAATTGGCTGGGAGTTATTCTCTCCCCACATCTTGCTGCCTCTGTCTCTGTGTCTCTGTCTCTCTCTCTGTCTGTTTTAATTTTCTGCTCCTTTTTTGTGTGTGTGCAGAGGGTAAAGGATAAAACATTTATAGAAGGTTTCCTATGTGCCACATGCTGTATATGTTTCATTCCATTAACAAAGTCAAAGCCCCAGGGAGGTGGATATTATTTCCATTTTCCAGATGGAAATTGAGGCTCAGCGACTTGTGGGTGGTTTTACAGTTCGGGGTAGAAATGAGCTTGCAGTCTGTTTGATCGTTCCCACATCCATTCTCTTAAACATTCTCCCTTCACATGATTAACAATCAGGATGGTCACAGGCTTTAACTCCAGCCCGTCTCACCCCATCCGGTCCTGCCCCCTTGAGGTGAGAACACCCCACGTCTTTCCTGATGCCCACACAAACAGAACACCAGGTGTGAAAACATACGGATACATCTCCCTTCTCCCCAGGTGAAGTGGCCTCATTGCCACGATTCCACAACTGACTGTCCCGTGTGAGGGGGCCTTGTCCCCCCAGTGCTGTCTGCTGATGGCCCAGGGCCACTTCCCTTGGCCCCTCAGGCCTCACTCCCAAGGCTTCCCACCAGCAAACCTCCATCCCAGGGTCTGTTTCCCGAGGAGCCCGACCAACAACACAAGCATTTTTCGAGACTTGCATCCTAACTTATTCTTCCTGAGTAATTGCATGATACATTCTAGAGCATCAAGGTACCACGATCAAGTCAACATCTCCTTATTGAGAGACATTCAGATTGTTGCTAGTCTTTTTTTATAAAAATAATTTGTTTATTTATTTGAGGAAGATTGGCCCTGAGCTAACATCTGTCACCAATCTTCCTCTTTTTTTTGCTTGAGGAAGATTCGTCCTGAGCTAACATCTGTGTCAGTCTTTCTCTATTTTGTGTGTGGGTCACCGCCACAGCATGTCTGACAAGTGGTGTAGGTCTGTGCCTGGGATCTGAGTCCACAAACCCAGGCCGCCAAAGCAGAGCTCGAGAACTTAACCACTACACCATGGGGCTGGCCCCTGTTGCTAGTCTTGTGATCGTTATTATTGCCACTGCAGACAAAGCTGCAGTGTATGTCCTGGAACGTCTGTCCCTACAGACTGAGGCTTTGATTTCTATGGGATAGATTCCTGAATGTGGGTGACCAAATGGAGATCTCTGTAATTTTTATTTTAACAGATCACAACAGGTAATTTTCTCAAAAGGAGTAGCAACTCACAGCCCATCAGTTATGTATGAGAAGGTATTCTTTTTTGTAGCATTGCACATTATCTACCTTTTCACTTTTTTCCAATTCGATGGGTGCACGATGGCCCGTTGTGCATTTCCTGGATGACCATGAACTTTCGCTTGTGCTTGTCCTGGGTGTAGACTCACAGAGAAGGTGAGTGTGAGCTTCCTGGACCAACAGTGGGGTCTTAACCTTCCACTCTATGCCTGCTAACTTCCTCCTCCTCACCAGGAAACACAGTTCTGTTAGGTCCCAAGCCATGGGAACGCTCCACTCCATCTGGGGAAGGGAGGGGTCCTTATCAGGTAGCATCTGTAACAGAGAAGAGAAACTGG